CGTCCCCAAAATAGACAAGTGGGATTACATCAGACTAACAAGTTTCTGTATGGCAAAAGACATAGTAATTAGTGTGAATCAACAGCCCTTAGAATGGGAAACTACTTTTGTAAATAATGCATCAGATAAGGGACTGATAACCAGAATACATAAGGACCTCAAGCAGCTGTTCTGAAAAAAAAAGATGATCAACCCTATTAAAAAATGGGAGAATGAGTTGTGCTAAAAGGCACATGAAAAAAAGGCTCAACATCCCTCATTGTAAGGGAAATGCAGATCAAAACAGCAATGAGATACCTCTTAACCCCAGTCAGAATGTCTAAGGTTAAAAAAAAAAAATTATGTGTTGGTCAGAGTGTGGTGAAAGGAGAACTCTTTTACACTGCTGGTGGGAATGTAAATTAGTCCAGCCACTGTGGAGAACAATTTGGAGATTCCTCAAAAATGGACAAATAGAACCACCATATGATCCAGCAATCCCACTTCTTGGTATCTACCCAAAGGACAGAAGAATTCTTCATGAGAAAAGTCCTTGCATATTGATGTTTATTATGACACGATTCACGATTGCTAAGACATGGAACCAACCCAAATTCCCCCATACGGCTGAATGGATTGAAAAACTGTGGCACATATGCTCTATGGAATACTATTAAGCCATAAAAAAACCCATGCTGATTTTCACACCAAACAAACTTTGCAGTAGCTGCAAGTTGAGTTTTGGGCCTAAGAATGCACAAGCCAGGCTATGAAGGAGAGACATTGTATGTCCCCACTTAATATATACCGAGTGTCTGCACTCTATGACTGAAACTGACTAAAGCATGTACAAACACAAGAGATGGGTATGATTGCCAGATATGGTGTGTGTGGAGGAGTGGAGCCTGGGGAAAAACATTTGGAGGAAGGATACAGAGACAGAGCATTATTGAGACGGGGAGGTAGTGGTGGTATCTGTTGAAGATACTTTGATCAACTAGATAGGGGAGAAATGTTTACATATTGAAATGTTCACTTTGTAAGTTAAATAATATGATTGAATACATAACAAAAGAATAGATACTTGACAAAAACATAGATCAAAATTGCTCAAATATGTGTGTTTCTTAGGAATGCACATATGTTAATAAATATTGACATAATGACCATGTCTAACTTCATCTATTTCATCTATAGTGATAAGGATGTTATGCCATAATCCCTCCATACAATACTCATGGTGAGAACAAAAATGAGTTCTACCTAATATTCTTTTTTTAAAAAAGAATTTTTATTTAATTTTATCCATTATTGTTATTATTATTTTAATTTGACCAGAGAGAGAGAGAGACAGGAAGTTGAGAAAGCAAGATGCCACTTCCAGAACTCAAACCATGGTTGTTTATGTGGAAGTCTGGCACTTTATCAACCATGACACTTGCTGGCCAAGTGTCTAATATGATTTGTTGAAAGAACTCTCTTTTAGACATAACTATTCTTATAGTGTCTACAAATATCATGGAAGAAGGAACAGTGATCCAATTTTAAAACTTCTTTTAATGCATATAGTCTAAGGCTATCTACTTGGTCTATAAATAAGTTAATATTTTAAATTAACACTCAATCATGGAGCCAGAAGATGACATCTTGGTTAAGGTGCTAGATTCCTACATGGTTGCCTGTGGTTCAAATCTTAGACCAGGTGGCTTTTTTTTTTCTCATTCTCTCTAACTCTCTCTCACTTTGATGAGTACACATGCTCTGTACAAAACTTTAAAATAATAATAAATAAAATAATTTTTAAAATAAACACTAATTTTATAAATTTTGTATAAAATACCTTTATAGAAAAGGTAAAATAAAGTTAGGCAAATTTTTAAGTAAAATAAGTAAATATACATACGTAGTTTCCATCTGATTTCTACTTGTACTAACAGTAACATTTGACTTGCACTTTGAGCAATTTTGAAGTTGACTCTGGAAAGGCAAGTAATTTTGTCAAAATGGTTACTTAGATGTGTTACAGATTAGAGTGCTTCTATTCTAAAAATTCAAAAACTGAATGAGCAGTTGTTTAAACAATAGAAGTTAATTATTTCCTGTAAAATAATTTCATAAATTTAAAAGTGAAGAGGCTAATATGTGTTATTAAAAATCTCAGTGGAGCCAACAAGTAGCATGGTGGTTAAGTCCCCAGATTCCCACATGGCCAACCACAGTTCGAGTCCTGGACCTGGAAATTTGCTTTCTCTCTCTTGCTCGCTCTCTCTCTCCCACATCTCTCACATAAGCACATATGCCCTATAGCAAATTTAAAATAATACTACTGGATAAAATTAAATAGAACATTCTCTAAAAATCTCTTAGGTTGGCTGGATCCATGGCCTGGTGAATAAGGCACCTGAATTTCACATGGCTCACGTCCCAGACCTAGAGGCCTGAGAAACATACCAGGCATGGTATGTGCATGCATGCATGCCCAAAATCCAAAAAGAAGGGAGAAATGGAGAAATGATTACTGCCTGACGACTCCCCATGGGGGGGGGATGCTTTCCTCTCTTCCTGTCTGTCTCTCTGTCACTCTGGCAAGTGCATATGCCCACTAGAAAACAAACAGATTTGTTCTCTTTTAAAAAGCTTTATTGGGGACCAGCAAATGGTGTAAAGGTTACAATGCTGATGTTGAATTCCCACACAGTCGATCATGGTTCAAGTCCCAGACCCAATGACTTAAAACACACTGGGCACATGTGTGTGCATGCCCAAGATCCCAAGAGGAGAATTGAGAAGGGATTGTAGCATGACCATACCCCTGGGGGATGATTTCTCCCTTTCTGTCTCTCTGTCACTCTCTGTCACTCTTGTCTCTCCAGCAAGCACACACAAGCAATAGCAAAAATTTTTCTCCAAGAAAAGCTTCGCTGAGGTATAAACAGTATCCAAGAAAATTGCACATATTTAATGTAAATATTTGGGTAAATGTAGTCAAATGCATACCTTTATACTACCACTATCAAGAATTTAAACCTATCCATTCATAAAGTGTGTGTAAAATTTGTTTTTTCTCAGTCAGAAAAGTGCTTGCACATCAATGTTTATTGCAGCATTATTCACAATTGCCAAGACATGGAACCAACCTAAATGTCCACAAACTGATGAATGGATTGGAAAAGTGTGGTATATATACTCTATGGAATACTACTCAGCCATAAAAAATAACAAGACCCTGGAATTTGATAGAAAATGGTCAGATATGGAGGATCTATTGCTGAGTGAAGTAAGCCAGGCTATGAAAGAAAGATATTGTATGTATCCACTCAATATATACCAACTATCCGCACTCTATAATAGAGAGCAAAAATTCGGAGGACATAAACACAGTGAAGGTACTTAATGAGAATAGGACAGTGTGGAATGGGGTAAGTGAAGAGAAGAGGATAGAGAAAGATAGCAAGTGAACAATAGAGAGACAGGACGTTAGTGAGAAACAGATAGGGGAAAACATAGAAAAGATATTGAATGTTGAAACGGGGAGATTAATGTCTCTGTATTGACTGGCATGCATGGCATTCCCTTTTGAAAAAGCAATGTAATATACTGTAAAGTTATATATAATCCAATGTAATATAAAGAAGATTATGATGATAATAAAATGTTAAAAATACCAAAAAAAAAATAGGTCTATCATACGCACTCTCTAACAATTCATGCGAAAGGAAAAAAAAAACAGGAAAATTTCTAGGATTTGGAAATAAAACCATACCTTGATCTGAGAATAAAAAAAAAATTTTGTACTAGAGGCCAGACGGTGGTATGGTGGTAAGGGTGTGGGATTCTCACATGACTTACTAGTTAGAATCCCAGGGCTGGTGCCTTGTTTTTTCACTTACCCTCTCTCTCTCTCATCATATTAAAATAATAATGGTGATAAAAATAAATTTAATTTCATTTAAAATTCTTTTAAAAAATTTCTACAAAGCACATGAATTTTCCAGAGAAAGCCAGAAATAGAAGATGAGAAATTATCTCCCATGGGGAATGATTATTATGCCATGTTTTCCTCCATCTCTTCCTCCATTTAGGATCTTAGGCATGCACATACTTGTGCCAGATTTTTTAAAGAGGTATTTTATTTTTAAGCCATTCAGAGAGAGATAGAGAGAAAGAGAAAGAGAAAGAGAAAGTCAGAAAGTTAGAAAGCAAGCCACCAGGCCAGAAACAAATAATCAGGGAGTCCAGCACCTTAACCGCCACCCACCTGCCAACCCCACCCAAAGTTTTGTAAGCTTTGGAAACAGGACTCAAATTGCTGGGTTGGCCATGTGTGATTCAACCACAAAAATGACACCATCGTCTGGCCTCATATTGTAAGTTATCAAGATTAGACTCTAATTAGTCCAAATCAGATTTTATTCATCTGGATTTTATGAGAGTGTGTACAAATCACCCTCAGGGAAATATCCTATAACTTTCTTTCTTTCTTTCTCTCTTTCTTTCTTTCTTCTGTTTGTTTGTTCGTTCATTCTTTCTCTTTCTTTTTTTAGAGTTTTTTTGGTTTTTGTTTGTTTGTTTTTTGCTTTAGGGCACGTGCACTTGCTGAAAATACAGAGAGACAGAAAGTGATAAATCACCCCCCAAGAAGGATGACCAAGGCACAATTCATTTTTCTCTATCCTCTTCTCAGGATCTTGGGCAGGCACTCACATGGGCACAGCGTGATTTTTAAGCATTCAAGTTCGGGACTTGAACTGCAGTCAACTATGTGGTAGTCCAATGATGTAACCATTTTGCTATCTGCTGGTCTCCACCTATAATTTTCAGATGAGTTAGAACCAGTACTCCATTGATTTTAGGAAGAAAAATTATTTCATCTCACATGAACCCTGAGCTGGTGACCACACAAACCAACTGAGTCCCAAGAGAAAAGTAAAGAAATGTTCAAATAGAGGGATTACTTGATATGTACCATACACCTCTACATTAAATGTAGTCCTAGTTTGTAAATCCTGCCTTTAATCCAGCTTCATGCATTTCTGAGGAAAAGCCATTTGACAAATAGCATCGGGTACAACACGCTCCTAGATGAAAAAAGAAATATAATACAGTATGATATTGACAACCTCGTGAGATTTCCTAATAACAGTTGGCTGTTGGTTAAAGTAGGAGATTTTGTCTACAGGAGCACCCATGATCAAGGCTTGGTCATCAATGAAGAGATGATAAACTAGCCTGTTAGTTTTAAAGAGGTATGATGTTCTTTCAATATTAAATATATACAGAGGTATCTGAACTGAGCCTTGAAATGAAATTGTGTGACTACTTTAACTCTGAATTTATTTTGCTTTTTTAAAAATTTATTAATTCACTTTACACCATCACAACACACAAATGAATTTTCCATCCAAAATACACTGTGCATTGTCTCAATCAAGTACATCCACATATATGTTCTCAGCAAATAATTTTCCAATTCTTACGTCCTGCATACCTTGCCCTTTGTCTTGCCATCCC